TGAACACCATTGGTAAAAAACCAATTCTTCAAAGCTTGATATTTACCTCCAAAATCGCTTTGTAATGCTTTGATTTTCTTCCCAAACTGAACCTCGACTATTTTAACAAGGTTGAGAAAGCATTGGCTGACTTCAGACTTCTTTCTAATTAGATACACCCAAGTATGTCTGCTAAACACGTCAATAAATGATACCATGTAAAGATTAGCAACAAATGTCTAAGCTATGTAAACGAGAACAAAGAAAACAAATGAAAGAAATAATTATTCTGAAACTCATTATCTTCAAGTGTGTATGTTTACAAGTCTCAAGAGTGTATTTATAGTTAGAACTATAGCTGTAACTAATGATGTAACTAAACTTCAACAAACTAACTGCTTCAACTGATTAGCAGCAATGAATCAATACTCAGCTGCACGAGCATCATGCACAACAGTTACACGTGAACTTATATGCCATGCATACACTAACATCGTCTGTGTTTAGGTTTAGCCAACCCGAAGCTGATGGTGTCCATCTGATTTGTTGGTTTGTCGGTTGGTTCATGTTCGGGTTATTTCTCCTTATTGTTCGTATGGCTCTGTGTGTTTCCCCCATAAGTCTCTTACTATACTCGATTACTGATTCATGCTCAACATGTTATGGGTTGAAGATTTATATATTCCTTTTTTTCTATTAGAGGATGTGGCGTATTGCATGAGAAGCTTGCGTATTGAAGCTTGCGTTGTGTAGAAGTTAGCTAGTGCTGAGCTGGTTAATAATCTGTTATGCTGATCTGTTATGCTGTTATGAAGCTGTTATGATACTGTTATGAATTTGTTAGGCTTAACAGCTTCTTTTAGAGCTAATTACTTGAACACTTATGCTATATATAAGCATGTTGTACATGAGTGATTAGTAATCAATAATATCTCCATTTTCAGTATCCAGCATGGTATCAATCGTTGGTGGTCCTGGCCCTCATTGTCTAGCTTCAGCTGCGTGATAGATTGCATAGATGGAATTTCCTTCTCAAAGCTCAAAGACCTTCTCTCATAAAAAGGTCAATGTCATGCTCGATGAAATGAACTTCCTTCTTTGGAAGCAGCAAGTACTATTGACTGTGCGCAGTCATAGACTAGAACGATTGCTCACTGGTGCGGTTTCCACACCACCAGAAACCATTGTTGATGATAACGACATTGCTCAGATCAATGAAGAATATGAGGAATTCGTTGCACAAGATAGTGCACTTGCCTCATGGCTTCTTTCCACCATCAATGCCCCTCTTCTCCCTCAATTTATTGGTGTTGAATCTGCCTCGGCTGTCTGAACACAATATTACAATTTTTTTTGCTCGTTCGACGACTGCTGTAATGAGTCTTCATTACAATTTACAGTCCTTGAAGAAAGATGGTGACTCTATGAGAACCTACCTTACACGCGTGAAAGAAGTCTGCGATGCCTTGGAGTGGTGTGACAACCCAGTTCCTTCTGTCAAACGCATCGTTGGCATTTTAAAATGACTTCCACGCGAGTATCAGTCTTTTGTAGCTGTTATAACTACCATGAAAGACACCTTAAATCTTGATAGCATTTATACTATACTTCTTGATGCTGAAATACAACTTACTTGGTTTGATGAGCAAATTAAAGTCCTTCCTATGAGTGCTCACATTTCTTAAGGTGATGGACGTGGTGGTTCCTTCTCTAACAGTCGCGTGGATACACGATATAACTACTCCAATAATTCTCATGGTGCTGGTAGAGACCGAGGAAGGTCACATGTCCAGTGTCAGTTATGTGGTAAGGTCGGACATCTTGTAGATCGTTGCTGCACAGATTTAACAAAGACTTCTCTTGTGTTACGACCGAGAATAGGACGAATTTCAGAGGTGACTCGTATCCATTGTCCACTGATACGCGTACCTGATGTGGTAAAGAACGTCCTCGTTCTTCAGGGATGGCTCAAGCTAACACGGTTAATACTGCTCATAGCTCGGACATGTGGGTGATCGATTCTGGGGCAATACATCATGTTACCACAGAAGCTTCGAATGTCATGGAACCGTCTGATTTTAATAGCCCAGGTAAATTGCTTATTGGCAACGGTATGCCCCTTAATGTTAACATGGTTGGTAGATCTTCAGTTTATTCCTCATCTAGAATTCTTTTTCTCAATGATTTATTGCATGTACCTCAAATCACTAAGAATCTTCTTTCGGTTTCAAAGCTTGCTAAAGACAATGACGTGTTTCTTGAGTTTTATGCAAATCGGTGTTGTGTTCGTGATGAGATGACTGGCTGCGTGTTTCTTCAAGGTGAAGAGAGTGGTGGTCTTTACTCTTTTGCAATTAATAACGATGCTCCTACTGTTCATGCGGCTGAGGTACATATTGCATCAGTGAATGTTTCTATTGATGAGTTATGGCACAGGCGACTTGGATATCCAGCAGCTCCTGTTTTAGCTAATTTGTCTAGTGAACTTGGTTTCAAATTAAAAATTAATGTAAACAAAGCATGTACTGCCTGTTATATTGGCAAGAGCCACAAATTGCCATTTTGTGAATAAAATATTGTCTATTCCCCTCCATTTGAACTTGTCTTCACTGATCTGTGGGGACCTCCGCATATATCTTCTAATGGTTTTCGATATTATGTTTCGTTTGTTGATGCGTTCACTAGATATACCTGGCTCTATCTCTTGAAAAGTAAATATGAGGCTATTATTGCCTTTGAATTATTTCAAAAACTTGTTCATAGGTAGTTTGGTTATTCGATCATGGCAATTCAAAGCGACTGGAGAGGTGAGTTTCGTAGCCTATCCTCTCTCTTGGAAAAGCAAGGCATTGTTCATCGATTGAGTTGTCCTCACACCTTTGAACAAAATGGAATAGTTGAACGCAATCATCGCCACATTGTGGAGCTTGCACTCGTATTACTTGCTCAAGCTGCCATGCCAATCAAGTATTGGTCTTATGCAGTTGTATCTGCAGTTTCCTTGATCAACAGATTACCTACTAAAGTACTTCAAGGGCTATCACCTTTTGAGAAGCTTATGCATAAGAAACCAGATTATAAAATGATGAAAGTATTTGGTTTTCAATGCTTCCCTTATTTGAGACTTTTCAGAATTATAAGCTCGAGTTTCGATCATGAGCATGTGTGTATCTTGGTCTCATCCCACAACACAAAGGCTACCAATGTCTAGCCCCAGATGGTCGAGTATATACTTCACATCATGTGGTCTTTAATGAGTTTGTGTTTCCTTTTTCAGGTGTTGCCAATGATAACATGTGTACTTAGAATGAATCATTCATCTTATCACCATCTCTAACTATAGTGGCTGATCCTAGATAGCCTTTGTTCCAATGCACACAAGAACAAGGTTCTCAATCAGTATCAAAAAGTGCACAGAACTGTGTTGAAGGATCGGTGTCCTTGGAAACAACTAACAGTGCAACCTCTCCTGTCGTGCATCAGAATGAGAATTCATCAACTCAGTCTGCCAATGATGATCTTGATCCAGTCTCTAGCCAGGACAACATGATTCATACTGAACTACACTCGGTACTTGACATAACTATGCCTTCATCTGATGATGTCCCATGTGCACCTCAGCGAACTCATCACATGTTGACTCGCAGTCGGTGTGGTGTGTTCAAACCGAAAACATATGTTGCTACGCTTGATGATCATGTTCCCACCTCGATACATGAAGCTTTTCGAATTGAACATTGGAAACAAGCAGCTTGTGACGAGTATGATGCCCTATTGAGAAACAATACTTGGACTCTAACTACCTTGCTAGAGGATCGAACTGTTGTTGGGTGCAAATGGTTGTTCAAGGTTAAGCGCAATCTAGACGGTTCAGTACAACGTTATAAGGCTCGTTTATTAGCCAAAGGATTCTTGCAAATACCTGGTTACAACTTCAAAGAAACATTTAGTCCTGTTATTCGATTCTCGACCTTCAATATGATTCTTTCCATTGCAGTCAACAAAGACTGGACACTAAGGCATATAGACATCAATAATGCCTTTCTCAATGGGTATTTGCTCGAAGATGTATACATACAGCAACCCCCAGGGTTTGAGGAAGTTAATGAACATGGTAAGCCATTTGTGTGCAAGCTAAAAAAGGCGTTATATGGGCTTCGATAGGCACCCAGAAATTGGCACGTGAAATTAAAACAAAACCTGGTACAAATGGAGTTTATGGTCTCTCATGTTGATCCCTCTTTGTTCCTCAAATATTCATCTCAAGGTATCATATATGTACTTGTGTACGTGGATGATATTGTTATTACAGGAAGCAGGTTAACTGATGTGGAAGAGGTTGTGGCCATGCTCAAGGACAGGTTTTCACTGAAAGATCTAGGGGAGTTACGATACTTCTTGGGAATTGAAGTAAAAAAGTCTGGTCAGGATGTTGTCTTAAGTCAGAGGAAATTTGTTAAGGAGCTTTTAGAGAAAACTGGTATGGAAAATGCTGTTGGCTGCAGCACACCTATGGTTATGTCCACCAAACTCTCACGTGACGAGGGGGAGTTGATCAGCAAGCAACTGAATACAATAGTATTGTTGGCTCGCTTCTATATGTTTGTCACACGAGACCTGACATCGCTTTCAGCGTTGGGCAAGTTGCTCAATTTATGAACTATCCTAGAGATGTGCATTTTACAGCAGTTAAGCGTATACTTAGATACTTGGCTGCTACCTTAAATTTTGGTTTGGTATTTTTTCCTTCTTATGTTGAAAGTTTAGACGTGGTTGCATTTGCTGATGCAAATTGGGGCTCCAATGTTGATGATCGCCGGTCTATTTCAGGGTTTGGAGTATTCTTAGGGCCGTGCTTGATTACATGGTCATCTAAGAAACAAAAAACAGTCTCTCGATCCACTATGGAAGCTGAATACAAGAGTGTTGCAGATGCCACTGCAGATGTCACATGGCTCACTGCTCTGTTGAATGATCTTGGTATTAAGCAAAGCTGTACGCCCATTGTCTGGTGTGATAACACAAGAACAGTAGCCATGAGTGCTAATCTGGTGTACCATGCTCAATTGAAGCATGTTGAGCTTGATATACATTTTGTTCGAGAGAAGGTGACAGCTGGCCAACTCTGTATCTGCCATGCATCAGGCAGCTGATGGGTTCACAAAACCTTTGTCTAAGGCTATGTTCGAAGAATTCAGAACCAAAATGTGTGTGCATCAATGTTATTCAACAGAAGAGAAGAAGTAGGGAGAATATTAGAGGATGTGGCGTATTGCATGAGAAGCTTGCGTTGTGTAGAAGTTAGCTAGTGCTGAGCTGGTTAATAATCTGTTATGCTGATCTGTTATGCTGTTATGAATTTGTTAGGCTTAACAGCTTCTGTTAGAGCAAATTACTTGAACACTTATGCTATATATAAGCATGCAGTACATGAGTGATTAGTAATCAATAATATCTCCATTTTCAGTATCCAACATTTCCATAGCGTCCAAATGTTGGTCCCAAACCTGATGTTCCAGTCTTCAACATTCCACTCTTTTATGTTTAACGCGTGGAATTCAATTAGCCTATCTTCCTTTATAAATATGGTCCAGATCGTACTTGCTTCTCCACACTTTCTCGGTATATGATCGACATCCTCTCATTCTTCATTACAAACCTTGCACTTTGCATCGGTAGTGAGGTGTCTTCGATATCTTTCCTTGTTCATCAAGAGTGCTTCATGAGCTGCTAGCCATATGAATGTTTTCACCCTTGGGAGTCCTTTAAAGCTCGCAATCTCTTTCCAGATTTTCTCGTTATGAATTCTGGCTGTTCAGTTCGAATCTGATAAGCTGATTTAACTGTGATTTTTTTGTCTTCATTCCATTTCCATCCTGTTGAGTCTTCTTTAAAGGTTGGCAGTGGGGGTTTTATCGCTGCGATCTTCATTAGTATTGATCTGGGTAAAATTGATTCAATCTCGTTCCACTTCTACTCTCTTTCCCTATTCACCATAGATGCGACTGTTCTTGTTTCCGAATCTTGTATTCTTAATTTATTGGCATGATTGATTAGCGGTTCAGTCCCATTTATCCATTAATCATTCCAGAATTTTATGGTATCTTCATTTCCAATGTTCCAAATGATGTCGTTTGTAGTTTACTCCCATTTCTTACACAAACTTCTCCATAGTTGTGATCCGTTCGCCATTCTCAAAGTTTTTGGGATCGTGTCTCTCCATTTGTATTTTGCTCATAAGAATTTAACCCATAGTTGATCATTCTTTCGTATCAGCTGGAAGGCCACCTTCATAAGAAAATGTTGGTTGAGCTGCTTTATTCCTAATCCTCCATCCCCACTTGGTTTACATAACGTTTCCCATTTGGTGAGATTAATTCTGTTTTTCTCTGCTGAGTTTCCCCATACAAATCTTCTGATTGTTCTTTCGATTTCTAAAAATACTCCTCTAGGCAACATGGCTGTTTGCATAGTGTAGTATGGTATTGCTTCTAAAACAGCTTTTGCTAATGTGATGCGGCCTACCATTGTTAATTGTCTTGCTTTCCACCCAGATAATTAATAACTCCGTAAAAATACTATGTTAGGTTCCTTTTTTACTTAAGTTGTTGATTGTCTTAAGATTCATATAGGTTCATTTAGATGCATTTAGGAGCATATAATTGCATTTGGAAGATTTATTTTGCCTTGGTATTTTATTTTGTGAATGATGCTATTTCACGGGAAAGGTTTGGTTTGGATGTTGATGTGCTGGTTCTAGGAGCAAGGGTGTGTGAGGAGAATTGTTGTGGCAAACTGGGATGCTGAAGTGGAATGAAAATGCCGCGGTATTTCTGGGCGCAGAAAATGACAAAGGAGTAAAAGATAATTTCGCATAAGGATAGTTGTAAATTCATCATGTGTTCTTTGTCGCCAACCACCTAAGAGGGACCTAGTGCCACCTGTTGTACTACCCCTCACATGTGGGGAATATACCTTAGGGTACCTTTGTAATTTTGGTACAAAGCCCTAGGTATATTCCCTTGGTATATATAGATTATGATACCACAAATGATCTTATCATCATCTTTTTGGGGAAAAAAATGAGTTGAACAAGAAAATAAAGGCGTCAACAAGCTTCCAACTTTCTTTCTTTCCTTTTCTCATATCTTTCGTGGTGTTCATTCCTTTTCAAGCTCGAGGAAGTGACGAGCTAGGCATTCGAGAGGATCTAGCACCATAAAGGTGGTTTGTGGTGGCCGAGGGAGCTCTGGCAGCATTCATTTGGAGTCTTTTCTCCCCCCTTATGCTTTCTTTTTATTCACATCTTATGGTTGTAAGGAATGAATGATTTTCATGGATTATCTGAACTCCACCATGGATTAAACTTTATTTGGTGGGGTTCATCATGGTTGATTAAGTGTTTTTCTTTAATGGATGGTTAATACTTTCATGTTTATTACTTGTTTTGCTTATTGTTTTTAATTACTTAATATTGTAGGAGTTATGAGAGTAACCTTTTCTTAAGTATACTACTTAGTGTTCGAGAGAAACTAAGTTATTGATCTTTAGTGTTTGAGAGAGACTAAAGGAAGATCGATGCAAGCAAAATGTTTTAGCTTATAACTAGAGCCTAATCCACCATCAAGAGGAGGTTAGGATTTTAAAGACTAAAAGGAGTAGTATTGAATCGATAGGTTAGATGTTGTTGCTCAGCCGAGAGGATTTTCCGTGGCATTCTCATATGTCAGGTCCCATGACTAGAGATAGCGTAGGGACACTCGTATAAAATTTTTCGAGCAAGTAAGACATGAAAGTTTATACTATCTTAAAAGACAAGACTTAAGATTCCTAAGTGACCCCACCATTCATTCACATAATAGCTTGTTGTGTGAGGATTATCAAGTCATCTTACTTAATTACCAACTTATCAATCTGTTTTGCTTTAGCATTTTCATTTGATTGCACTTTAAACAACTATTTTTGTATCGACGTTCTCATTTGCTATCCACTCACACCACTATTTCAACTCCACCTACATACATTTAATTTTGCATTGGGTTACATTTTGGTAATTTAAAATTTTAATTCAAATTAAAAAATTATATATATATAACCCAAAATTTTCAAAAATAGTCCCAAAACTTTGAAAACCTTTATTTCAACCTCTATACCCACGTCGATTGCCGTCCTCGATTGCCGTCGATGAAGTTCCACCAAACTTCACCTACCCAGCAATAAATACCCTTATGAAATCGACGACCAATCGATGTTTTTGTACCTTGCGAACCATATAATGAAAATCGCAATCCCATGTGATTTTCACAGTCAATCGAGGGCAACTACGACGACACGTGACTAGGAAGATAACATTGACTTAGTCGACGATGGTGGTCATGGTCAAAAAGGGGGCGACAGCCAGTTAGTGTTAGGATTTTTGATTTTTATGAATTTGAATTATTTTATAGTTTAAGATAAATTAAGGTTTTTTATAAATATAATAATATTATAAATTTAAAAAAAAAAATCAAAATTAACCGTATGTGACATATGTCACTTAACAGAGAAAACTAACGACAGTTATGGCCTGGACACCTAAAATGATAACGTTTGTAACGTTAGGCACCTGAATATTCAAAAAAATATTATAAGCACAAAACGATATAGCTTGTGCACTTATTTTATAATTAAGCCATTAAAAAAATTAACCCTCAATCGGGAGGGTTACCGCATGTAAAAAAAATATTCTAACACATTTTACTATGACACATGTCACCATTTGATTGAATGTTTTTTTAATTTATTTTAATATTTTAATTAAATAATATACTCACCAATCATGTGGTTTAATCGAAAAACAACCAATTTAAAATTGCCATAAAAGGGAATCAAACCATGGTCTTGTGGAGTATAGCACGTCTGAACTATGTCTTTTTCTTTAGGTGTTTAAACTTTTCATTTTGCCACATCACCATGTTTCAGTTTTGCCATATCATCATTTTGCCACATCACCAGGTTTCACTTTTACCATATCATCATCTCCGTTAAGTAGTCACCCGTATTTCAATTTCACGAATCAATATCATCATTTTACCACATCTCCATGTTTCAGTTTTACCATATCATCATCTCCATTAAGTGGTCACCCGTATTTCAATTTCACGAATCAATAAGTTATGGATTTAATTAATTGCGACGTTAACTATAACATCACCATCTCTATTCAAGGGGAACATTTAAATATTAACGACTAGTGACCTTATTAAAGTACCGTCAAAGAAGAATATCTTAAAACATAAAAATTTGTTGTACTTGATTTCATGCATTAATAAGTTTTATTTTTGAAAAAAATACACATTTTTTAAAGAAATAAATAAATAAATTATGGATTTAATTAAATTTTAAAAAATAAATTTATGTCATGCCATAGTTTTAAATTTACTGAAATATTTTTTTCCCAAAGTTGAATGTCATTTACTTGCACGTATAAAAGATAATTTTCAGTTTGCCTTGTATGTCCGATCAGATCCATTTTATATTCTCTGCCACTATCAACATCCAACACCATTGTCAAATACCTGTTACAGACCAAAATGGGGTTCTAAACATATAATAAAAGCCTACCAAAATAGAGAATAGGGCTCATTTGAAGGGTGCTATAGTTCCTATAAGGGCATTTCCGAAATAAATTTTGCAATATTTAGATACATGACATGACATGGGAGTTATATTTTACCATAGTTGATAGAATACATACATTTACAAAAACCAGCATGCAATCGCCATTGCCGTTGCCATGCCAACATGCTGATCTTCGTCTCCCGACTCGTATATCATTAATCACTTCTTTCCTTGCATTGTAAACAATGTATTTCCCTGAGGGGGAAAAAACATACAGGCCCTCTGAACCCACGTCAACAAGAAACAGAAGTTGTAAGTAATCCACCAGAGAATTTATTGAGAGCAAGCATTTATCAAAATGAAAACTGATCACAATAGCATACCAATTATATTGAAGAAGATTCCTCTATATATTTGGTGTCATCTTGGACGC